GCCACGGGCTGAAGCCGAGGGAGAAAGGCATCGCCCTGCGGAAATGACGGCCAGCTGGGAACAGTGACGCAGGGCCTGCGTGCCAGAGAGCCATCCCTCCCGGGAACTTGTCTGAACACGGTCATCGTTTGCTGCTTCTCCAAGGGGGTCCTACCTGCCAACGTGTTCTAGAGTAAAGGATCATAGTGTCTGCAATTTGCTCTCAAATGATTCGGCAAAAATAACAATTATAACATCTAGAGAGAGAGAGAGGTTTAAGACAAACAAGGGGACACTGGTAAATCTAAGTGAACGGTATGTGGATAAGCATCGTCTATCCTTGCAACGTCTCTGCCGGTTTGAATTCAAAATGAAGACACTAAAAAAAAAAAAAAAAAAAAAAAAAAAAGCCCTAGCCAATTTGGTTCAGTGGATAGAGCATCAGCCTGTGGACTGATCAAGGGCACGTGCCAGGGTTGCAAGCTCAATCCCCAGTAGGGGACATGGAGGAGGCAGCCGTCCCATGATTCTCTCTCATCATTGATGTTTCCATCGCTCTCTCCTTCTCTCTTCCTCTCTGAAATCAATAAAAATGACTAAATAAAAAACATGAACATCAGGGACATGTTTAACTGCATCTCCCAGGTAGTAGTCATGTCACAGCTACTGTGGGACACCAGAGCGCCAAAGTGGGACTCTGAAGCCGTCACGCACACACATGCGCACACGCACACACACACACGGGTGAAATCGGCTGCGCTACGTTCTGCTTTTACCTAGACAGTCCCACGCACCTCCTTCACCAGCCCGGCTTCTGCAAGGTCCACCGGCCATTGGAACTGGCCGTGCCTTATCCATGTCCCACATGAGCAAACAAGCTCAGAGGGTCTTGATTTCCCCACGGTCACAGCTAACCCCACGACCCCAGGCCGGCGCTGTTCTGAGGGTTCTGTCCTGGGAACCGTGGGGCGTCTTCCAGGCCTTTTGGTTTTTTGCAAAAATCAAGAGGGAGGTTTTTGTTTCCCCAAGAAAATACTTCCTTAACGTGCAGGTGACGCTGAGAGGGGGTCCGGAGAGAGGGAGCTCGGGCTGGGCTCCAGAAATGCCACTGCTCCCCGGGCCCTGCGGCCGGCTCCCACCTTACCCCCCACCCCCTCCCACCCCATCCCCCACCACCACCCCGCACACAGCCCCTGAGTACAGGCCCAGGACCGAGCTGCCGTCCGTGGGGATTGCAGTTCCTACAGGGACCCTGACGGACACAGGAACGAGTCCGAGCTGATGACAAATATTTACTACCGTTGGCGAGCACATGATGCATTCCAAAATAATTCCACTTTCCCAGTGTCGCCTTAACCACACGCTTCCCACACAGGCAGGCCGCCCAGAGCCCGGCCGGCAGGCTGCGGTCCCGCTCTGTGCCGACCCACCTTCTGACCCGCCTTCCCAGGCCCCAGGCTGCTCCCACGGGACCGGGGCCTCAGTGTTCCAACCGGGAGAAGCGGGACCTGCCACGCTCAGGGGACTCACTGGCCCATCATCCCCCCGCCCCCCCCCCCCCCGGGGCTGAGAGGGCAGGCGGTGGCGGTGGTGTCGGGAGGAGCAGAAGGAGAGGGGCAATGGGAGTGGGCGGGCAGCACCGGCAAAGCCAGCCGGGGTGGCCTCCAGCACCTCTGCAGCCCCTGGCGCTCCTCCAGGAACACCCCCCCCCCTTCCCATGGGCCCGGGAACAGCCCCCGTAGGGAAAGGGCAGCTCCGAAGCTCCTCCCGTCTGAGTGGCCAGTTTCCTTTTCCATCCTACTCGCCAGCCCCTGGCTGTCCCCGCCAGTGAGCTCTGGCCTGAGAGCCAGGGGGCCATCCCGTCTCACCACTGGGAGCAGCCTCGTTCCCACACTCCCAGGCCTGGAGCCTGGTGTCCTGTGTCTCTCTGTCTCCCCACCACCACCCCCTCTTGGCCTGTGAGGATGCTCAGACCCATGGGGCTCGAGAAATACTTACTGGCTGAGTGAACACAGGGCCCTTACCAGCGTCCACGCCCTCTCCTCAAGCTTAAAAACCCGCATTTCATTGGTAACTTATGGGACAGCCTGGGTCGCTCTGCCCAGAGGGTCTCTCCGGTGTCCCCGTGGGCACCCCACAGTCACCCACTCGCCCCACCCTCCCGACACCAGGGCTCACCCCACAGAGCTGCCAGCTTCAGAACTGAGGGCCGGGCGCTGGGCTTTGCCTGTGGCTGAGTGGCAGCTCCTCGGAGGTGCCAGGCCCACGGGACAGAGGCAGCTGCGGGGGCGGGTGCCGCAGGGATGTGTGCCCTCACCGAGTGTGTGTGCAGGGCCCCGCGCCCTCTCAGACGCCACACACGCCCTCAGGCTTCCACAGTTAGCAGGTGGCCGTGCCAGGGGCGCTGCTTGTGCAAATGGGGTGCCCTCGAAGCGACAGACACCCCGAGGGGCTCCGGTCCTAGGGGTACTACCCCATTATGTGGACGAGGAAACTGAGGTTCATGGGGGGCTCCGCGCCTTGCCCAGTTCACAAAAGCAGCAGGAGGATCCAACACCTCCCGTGTTCCCTCCTAGCTCTCCCCAAACCACAGCCACCTGGTCTCAGCACCCAGGGGCGCGGCTGTGCTGGCTGAGCGGGAATGATGGGCGGAGCTGGCAAATACTGACCTGAGATCCAAGCACGGGCAGGTCCCACTGCTGTGGGCAGGAATTGGCAAGCCGTCCCGGAGAGGGCGGGATGGGGTGGCGACAGGGACCTGGTCCCAGGGTGACAGGAGAGCTGGAGCTTGGGGGGGGTGGATACACACACACACACACACACACACACACACACACACACACACGCTTCATCTACCTGTTTTGATGCCGAGGGCACTACTCCCTGCCCAGCCATGCCCAGCATGGGGGCACTTCCTACAAGGCTCCCCGCCACACGCTGTCTGTAGAGCTGGGAATCTGAAGGGCCCCTCGGTCAGAAGACACTTGGCATCCAGTTCTGCCCTAGGAGGGACTAAAGGAGCCTCAGAGACGCCTCCTACAGGATCAGCGCCCACTGCAGAGGGAATGGAGGCCTGGACAGGTGACGAGGGCAGGGGGCAGGCCGCCCAGCAGAGCTGCAGTGATCGGGGGCAGGGGGCAGGCCGCCCAGCAGAGCTGCAGTGAGCGAGGGCAGGGGGCAGGCCGCCCAGCAGAGCTGCAGTGAGTGGGGGCACGGGGCAGGGACCCAGCAGAGCTGCAGTGAGCGGGGGCACGGGGCAGGGATCCAGCAGAGCTGCAGTGAGCGGGGGCAGGGACCCAGCAGAGCTGCAGTGAGCGGGGGCAGGGGGCAGGGACTCAGCAGAGCTGCAGTGAGCGGGGTCAGGGGGCAGGGGGCAGGGACCCAGGAGAGCTGCAGTGAGCGGGGGCAGGGGGCAGGGACTCAGCAGAGCTGCAGTGAGCAGGGGCAAGGGGCAGGGACCCAGCAGAGCTGCAGTGAGCGGGGGCAGGGACCCAGCAGAGCTGCAGTGAGCAGGGGCAGGGACCCAGCAGAGCTGCAGTGAGCAGGGGCAGGGACCCAGCAGAGCTGCAGTGAGCGGGGGCAGGGACCCAGCAGAGCTGCAGTGAGCAGGGGCAGGGACCCAGCAGAGCTGCAGTGAGTGGGGGCAGGGACCCAGCAGAGCTGCAGTGAGCGGGGGCAGGGACCCAGCAGAGCTGCAGTGAGCGGGGGCAGGGGGCAGGGGGCAGGGACCCAGGAGAGCTGCAGTGAGCAGGGGCAGGGACCCAGCAGAGCTGCAGTGAGCGGGGGCAGGGGGCAGGGGGCAGGGACCCAGCAGAGCTGCAGTGAGCAGGGGCAGGGACCCAGCAGAGCTGCAGTGAGTGGGGGCAGGGACCCAGCAGAGCTGCAGTGAGTGGGGGCAGGGACCCAGCAGAGCTGCAGTGAGTGGGGGCAGGGGCAGGGGGCAGGGACCCAGCAGAGCTGCAGTGAGCGGGGCGGGGGGCAGGCTGAGGCTCAGCCAGACGCTTCTCCCGCACCAGCAGGCCTTCCCCAGCATTCACACCTGTATCGCCTTCTACCAACGCAGACCCGGCTCTGAATCGTGCGTTCACATCCGAGAAGGCAAACGTGGGGGGGGTCCCTGGGTGGGGGTGCAGGGGGCTGCCAGTGACCAAGCCTCCTGACTTCTCAGTGACGGCCTCACCCGGAGCATCAAGAATTCCGCCCGCACCGGTGACTGAACCAGCAGTGCCGGGCGGACCCGGACCCGGACCCCGGGGGCACTGCCGGGGCTGGAGCACCGCCTCCCGGGGCTTCCTCCCCCAACGCAATGCAAAGGCGCAGACATCAGGTTAATAAACAGCTTTATTTGCCATCGACAGCTTCCATTTCCTTACAGTCTTAAGTTGCCATTAAAGTGTGGGGAGGACCTTAATCATGGTAACATTGGTCAGAACTAGCGTCAGGAACAGGGTGCTCCCTTTCACGGCCCAGGATGGAAGCCACTGCCCACAGATTCTCACTCCCTCCGCGTGGGGGGACAGACACCACTCCCCTCGGCCATCCCGGGGTGTCTGCTGCTCGCGCGGACCCAATCTTAGGAGACACGGAGGTCCGGGACCGTGACCGCCTTCCACCCCGCCCCGCCCTCACTAACAAAAACCCGCCGCGTCATGGCAAGGAAAAAGGAAGTGGGTTGCCAAAGACCCCGACACTACCCAGGTCCAGTAAAAATAAGGATAATAAACACAAAGCTTGCGTAGTAAACGGGAGTTCTTGTCAGCGTTCAATGCAAAAAAAAAATAAAAATAAAAAATAAAAAAAAGAAATCTTAAGGCAAATACTGCTGACTCTGCAGGCGGCTGGCCGAGCCGGGGGCTCCGGGCCGGCAGAAGCGCCAGGCCCGGGGCGGCAGCTGGCGGCACCTGCCCCGCGGCCGCTCCGTGCCCGCCGCGGAGGCTGCGGGCGCGGGCTCGCCGGAGGGAATATACACACACACACACACCCGAGGCGTGTGTCCTCCTGCACGTAGGTACCCGGGCCGGCTACTCCTTCTTGGTGGAAACCACCAGCTCCACCTCGGGCAGCTGGATGCCGACCTTCGTCCCGCTGTCGTTGCTGGAGGAGGAGGACAGCCGGGACTTCTGCAGGGACACGCCGCTCCCCTGCAGCCTGCCTGCCTCGTCGTCGCTGCCCGTCACCTCGTAATGACCTTTGCTCTTTGACCCCAACCCGCCGAAGGTACCAAACTTCAGCTTCCCGTGCTTCCCTTTGACCTTCCCGCCCTCCAGCGACAGGTCGCCGCCCTCGAACTCCAGAGTCCCCGTCGGGGTGGTGGGCGCCGAGAACTCCCTCTCGTCGCTGAAGGAGTTGGAGCGGTGCCGGGGTTTCTTGCTCCTGAACAGGGAGAACTTGGCCTTGGGCGACGACGCTTCGGCCTCGGCCTCTCCCTCCAGAGAGCCCAGGCTGGCCTTGGAGCTCTTCAGGTCCCCCTTGGACCCCGAGATGGATGCTTCCGGCGAGCCGGTGGCGCCGCCCTTCCCTTTCTGTTTGGAGAAGGTGAACTTGGGCATCTTGATTTTGGACTTTTTCAGCTTGACGTCGGACTCTTCCCACTCGCCCTCTCCGGCACCAGCCTGGCCGCCGGCCTCCCCTTTAGGGAAATTGATATCCACCCCCACCTCTCTGCCCACCAGCTCGCGGCCAGAGGTGGTGAACTTGGGGATTTTCATCTTCGGGAATGTTACTTTTCCAGATCTGCTTTCCAAGTGACCCTGCGGCCCGGACACGCTCAGCCCCGGGCCCTGGAGTCCGACGTGGCCTCCTTTCCCTGCTCCTTCCGCCTTCGGTCCGGAGAGATGGAGCCCGCCGGCGATCGTGGGCGCGCCCAGGTGGAGAGCAGAGACCTGGGGGCCTTTCCACTCGACCTCGGGGCCTTTGGCGCTCAGATGCCCTTCGCCCAGGCTGAGGTCTGGGGCGCCGACACCCCCCGACACGTCCACGCCTCCGTGGATTTTCGGGCCCTTCAGACTGAAGCCAAGATCGGACTCGGGAGAGGCCACAGAGAAGGAAGGTCCTTTCAGGCTGATGTCGGGAGCGGCCCCGTGGACGCCCACTCCTGAGCCTTTCAGGTCGCCTTTGATGTCAGGGCCGGAAACCTGCCCCGTGGGGAGCCTCACCTTGCCCCCCTGCAGCTCCAGACCACACGCAGGGGCCTTCACGCCGGGCAGGTGGAGGTCCCCTTGGGGGCCGTGAATACTCACGCCCGGAAGGCCGCCTCCGACAGAGGGCCCGTGCAGCTCCCCGGAGCCCCCGAGGCTCCCTTTCACGTTTGGTCCTTTCAAGTGCAAGTCCACATCCGGGGCCGAGATCTGAGGCCCCTTGAGGCCGAGGCCTCCGAGATTCACGTCCATGCCTGGCGCCTTCAGCTCTCCGGTCACCTGGGGCCCCTTGACGTTCACGTCCACGTCAGCCCCGGGAGTGGAGATGCCGAACTGGGGCAGCTTCATCTGGGGAAGCTTAATGCCCCCTTCCGGCGCCTCCCAGCTCAGATCGGGAGCGCCTACTGACACGTTAGGGCCCTTGACGTCACCAGAGACGGCCAGGTCTCCCTTCACACTTGGTCCTTTCAAGTTCAGGTCAAGGTCAGGCCCGGAGACCTTTGGCATGGAGAGGTTCACCGAAGGCACGTCTACCCTCGGCCCCTTCAGAGACACGCCAGGCCCTTCGAGCTTCACGTCAGGCGCGCCCACGCTTCCTTCCAGCGAGGGCAGCTGGATGTCGGCTCCCCCGCCCTCCACGTTCACGCCGGGGACGCCAATCTTGGGCATCGAAAACTTGGGAAACTTGATTTTCGCTTCCGGACCTTGCAGGTCTAGGTCCGATCCTTCCAGTCCCACACTGGGGACGTCGCCCTTGACCTTTGGTCCTTTCAAGCTCAGGCTCACATCGGGGGCGGAGACCTGAGGGGCAGAGATGCCGAAGGACGGTGCGTTGACGTGAGCACCGGGGCCTCCGAGGCGGATGTCAGGGGCGTCCGCGTGAATTCCCGGCGATGAAACGTCCAGGTCGCCCGCCTGGATCTCGCCCTCCATCTTGGGGCTGGGGAGGGAGGCCTCCGCTCTGAATTTGGACGATTTAATGTCAAATTCCACGTCGGGGAAGTACATCTTCCCGAACATGGGCTTCTTCGTTCTAGGGGATTTCACGTCCACTTTCAGCGAGGCATCCGGCCCCGCCACATTCACGTCCGCGTCGGGAGCCCTGAGGCTGGCGTCCATCTCGCCGCCAGGAAGGTTCAGATCAAACCCTTGCTTCTTGGTTTTGATCTTGGGGCCGCTCATGTGGATCTTGGGCATTTTAAACTTGCTCTTCTTGCCCTTGCCACCGACGCTGATGTCCGGAGCCTCGACACTGAGCTCCGCCTCAGGGACAGTCACCTCGGCCGACGGCGCCTTGAAGTCAGCTTTGGGGCTTTTGGCCCCAAATCCAAACTTGGGTTTCTTAAGTTTGGGGATTTTGACATCCGGCCCCTCCAGGTTAACCTCTGGGCCCTCCATGTGGACACCCAAGGCCGGCGCTTCCAAGTCAACTTTAGGCCCTTTAAGGTCCAGTTCTCCGCCTTCTACTTTGGGGCCAGAGAGCCCAATCTTGGGTGTCTTGAGATGCAAATCAACATCAGGAACAGTGACTTTAGGGGCAGATATATCCAGCGATGGCATCTTGAAATGTGGGCCACTGAGTTTGGCCTCAGGGCCTTCGAAATCCAGACCTGGGCCTTTCAAGTCTACTTCTGGGCCTTTGAAAGTGCCTTCCATCTTAGGAACGGACATCTCAAAATCTCCTTTGACTTTGGGACCCTTCAAATCTAGGTCAACATCAGGCATGGAGATCTTAGGAGCTTTGATATTTATCTCAGGCATCTTGAACTTAGGGCCCTTCAGTTTTGCATCTGGACCTTCGATATTCACATCTGGGACATCAATGTCCACCTTGGGTCCAGAGACATCAATGTCGGCCTTGGGCAGGTTCACATCCACATCTGGGCCCTCCCCTTTGAAGCCAGGCATGCTGAACTTGGGCATTTTCACCTTGGGCATCTTCAGGTGCCAGTCGGGACCATGAACATCCACATCTGGGACATCGATGTCCACTTTAGGGCCTTTGATGTCAATTCCGGGGCCCTTGAGGTCACCTTCCACCTTAGGCAGGGAAACATCCACATCGCCCTTCACTTTGGGGCCCTTCAGGTTCAGATCAAGGTCAGGCATGGAGATCTTGGGGGCTTTGATGTTCATCTCAGGCATCTTGAACTTGGGGCCCTTCAGTTTTGCATCTGGACCTTCGATATTCACATCTGGGACATCAATGTCCACCTTGGGTCCGGAGACATCAATGTCGGCCTTGGGCAGGTTCACATCCACGTCTGGGCCCTCTCCTTTGAAGCCAGGCATGCTGAACTTGGGCATTTTCACCTTGGGCATCTTCAGATGCCAGTCGGGACCATGCATGTCCACATCAGGGACATCGATGTCCACTTTGGGGCCTTTGATGTCAAGTTCAGGGCCCTTGAGGTCACCTTCCACTTTGGGCAGAGAAACGTCCACATCGCCCTTCACTTTGGGACCCTTCAGATTCAGGTCGACTTCAGGCATGGAGATCTTGGGGGCCTTGAGATGTAAGTCAGGCATTTTGAACTTGGGGCCCTTCAGTTTCCCTTCTGGGCCATGAATGTCAATGTCAGGAGTGTCTATGTCCAGCTTAGGGCCTTTAATATCCACTTTGGGGCCTTTCAGATCACCTTCCAGTTTAGGAACGGAAAGGTCCAAATCTCCTTTTACTTTAGGTCCTTTCAAGTTCAAATCAATGTCACTCATGGAGATTTGTGGGGTTTTGAAGTGCACATCAGGCATCTTGAACTTGGGGCCTTTGAGTTTCCCTTCAGGTCCCTCAATGTCCACCTCTGGTCCTTTCAGGTCACCTTCCACCTTGGGCAGTGAAAGGTCCACATCGCCCTTCACCTTTGGCCCTTTCAGGCTTAAGTCAAAGTCAGGCATGGAGATCTTGGGGGCTTTGATGTTCATCTCTGGCATCTTGAACTTGGGACCCTTCAGTTTCGCATCTGGACCTTCGATATTCACATCTGGAACATCAATGTCCACCTTAGGACCTGAGACATCCAAGTCAGCTTTGGGCAGGTTCACATCCACATCTGGGCCCTCTCCTTTGAAGCCAGGCATGCTGAACTTGGGCATTTTCACCTTGGGCATCTTCAGGTGCCAATCAGGACCATGGACATCCACATCTGGGACGTCAATGTCCACTTTAGGGCCTTTGATGTCAATTCCGGGGCCCTTGAGGTCACCTTCCACCTTAGGCAGGGAAACATCCACATCGCCCTTCACTTTGGGGCCCTTCAGGTTCAGATCAAGGTCAGGCATGGAGATCTTGGGGGCTTTGATGTTCATCTCAGGCATCTTGAACTTGGGGCCCTTCAGTTTTGCATCTGGACCTTCGATATTCACATCTGGGACATCAATGTCCACCTTGGGTCCGGAGACATCCAAGTCAGCCTTGGGCAGGTTCACATCCACATCTGGGCCCTCTCCTTTGAAGCCAGGCATGCTGAACTTGGGCATTTTCACCTTGGGCATCTTCAGGTGCCAGTCGGGACCATGCATGTCCACATCAGGGACATCGATGTCCACTTTGGGGCCTTTGATGTCAAGTTCAGGGCCCTTGAGGTCACCTTCCACTTTGGGCAGAGAAACGTCCACATCGCCCTTCACTTTGGGACCCTTCAGATTCAGGTCGACTTCAGGCATGGAGATCTTGGGGGCTTTGAGATGTAGGTCAGGCATTTTGAACTTGGGGCCCTTCAGTTTCCCTTCTGGGCCATGAATGTCAATGTCAGGAGTGTCTATGTCCAGCTTGGGTCCTGAGACATCAATGTCGGCCTTGGGCAGGTTCAAATCCACATCTGGGCCCTCTCCTTTGAAGCCAGGCATGCTGAACTTGGGCATTTTCACCTTGGGCATCTTCAGGTGCCAGTCTGGGCCATGAACATCCACGTCTGGGACATCAATATCCACTTTGGGGCCTTTGATGTCAACTTCAGGGGCCTTTAAGTCACCTTCCACCTTAGGCAGGGAAACGTCCACATCCCCTTTCACCTTAGGACCTTTCAGATGCAAATCAAAGTCAGGCATGGAGATCTTGGGAGCTTTGATGTTCATCTCTGGCATCTTGAACTTGGGGCCCTTCAGTTTCGCATCCGGACCTTCTAGATGGACATCTGGAATTTCAACGTCTACTTTGGGTGCCGAGACATCAATGTCGGCCTTGGGCAGGTTCACATCCACATCTGGGCCCTCTCCTTTGAAGCCAGGCATGCTGAACTTGGGCATTTTCACTTTGGGCATCTTCAGATGCCAGTCTGGGCCTTGAACATCAACGTCTGGTGCATTAATGTCCATTTTGGGGCCCTTGATGTCCACTTCAGGGCCTTTCAGATCACCTTCCACCTTAGGCAGGGAAACATCCACATCCCCTTTGACCTTAGGACCTTTCAGATGCAAATCAAAGTCAGGCATGGAGATCTTGGGCGCCTTGATGTTCATCTCCGGCATTTTGAACTTCGGACCTTTCAACTTTCCCTCAGGCCCCTCAATATTAACATCAGGGCCTTCAATGTCCACTTTGGGGGCTGAGATGTCGATGTCAGCCTTGGGCAGGTTCACATCCACGTCTGGGCCCTCTCCTTTGAAGCCTGGCATGCTGAACTTGGGCATTTTCACCTTGGGCATCTTCAGGTGCCAGTCTGGGCCATGGACGTCCACATCAGGGGCATTCATGTCCACTTTTGGGGCCTTGATGTCAACTTCAGGGCCTTTCAGATCCCCTTCAATCTTGGGAAGAGAAACGTCCACGTCACCCTTCACCTTGGGGCCTTTCAGGTTTAAGTCGATGTCAGGCATGGAGATCTTGGGAGCCTTTAGGTGCATCTCAGGCATCTTGAACTTGGGGCCCTTCAGTTTCCCCTCTGGGCCTTCAATGCTAATGTCAGGAGTGTCAATGTCCACTTTGGGGCCCTTGATGTCCACCTCAGGGCCCTTTAGGTTGCCTTCCACTTTTGGCAAAGACACGTCCACATCGCCCTTCATTCTGGGGCCCTTCAGGTTCAGATCAATGTCAGGCATGGAGATGTGGGGGGCTTTGATGTTCATCTCAGGCATCTTGAACTTGGGGCCCTTCAGTTTCGCATCCGGACCTTCGATACTCACATCCGGAACATCAATGTCGGCCTTGGGCAGGTTCACATCCACGTCTGGGCCCTCTCCTTTGAAGCCAGGCATGCTGAACTTGGGCATTTTCACCTTGGGCATCTTGAGGTGCCAGTCCGGGCCATGAACATCTACATCAGGGACATTCATGTCCACTTTGGGCCCCTTGATATCAATCCCTGGGCCTTTCAGATCTCCTTCCACTTTGGGCAGGGAAACATCCACATCACCTTTTACCTTGGGGCCCTTCAGATTTAAATCGATATCAGGCATGGAGATCTTGGGAGCTTTAATATTCATGTCAGGCATCTTGAGTTTGGGGCCTTTTAAGCCTCCTTCTAGACCTTCTACACTGATTTCTGGGCCCTCAATGTCCATCTTGGGAGCCTCTATGTTGATATCTCCTTTTGGCAGATCCACAGACAGATCTGGCCCTTCTGCTTTTAAGCCAGGCACACCAAACTTGGGCATTTTCATCTTGGGCATTTTCAAATTAAAGTCTGGGCCATGAACATCCACATCAGGTGCATCAAGATGGACTTCTGGTGCCTTAATGTCCACTTGGGGTCCTTTAAAGTCACCTTCTAAATCAGGGCCTGCAACACTTAAGTCTCCTTTGACTTTAGGACCTTTCAGATTTAGCTCTACATCAGGCATAGAAACTTTAGGAGATGAGATACTCAGGAACGGCATTTTGAACTTGGATCCTTTCACTTTCCCTTGGACTTCAACATCAGGAGCATTGATGTCAACTTTTGGGCCTGTGACGTCAACATCTGGCTTTTTAACTTTGACATCCACCTCAGGTGTCTGGACTTTGGAGCCGGAAAAATTAAATTTGGGAAGCTTAAAACGAGACTTCTTTGACTTGCCTTCGATATTGAGCTTAGGGCCAGAAATGTCCACTTCCGGGCCCTTTACATCCAACTTGGGAGCTTTAATGTCCCCTTCTAATTTGGGCCCAGAAACATCAACCTCTCCCTTAAGCTTTGAGCCTTTCAAATTCAGGTCAATTTCTGGCATAGAGATCTTGGGCATGTTTACATGCATGTCAGGCATCTTCACTTTTGGGCCTTTCAGCTTGCCTTCTGGACCATGAATGTCAATAGCTGGAGCATCTACATCGATCTTCGGGCCCTTGATGTCAAGAGTAGGCCCTTTCAAATCACCTTCTACCTTTGGCAGTGAAACATCCACCTCTCCTTTCATCTTAGGGCCTTTAAGATTAAGGTCCAAATCTGGCATGGAGATCTTAGGAGCCTTGATGTTCATCTCAGGCATCTTGAACTTGGGGCCCTTCAGTTTCGCATCTGGACCTTCAATATTCACATCTGGAACATCAATGTCCACCTTGGGTCCTGAGACATCCAAGTCAGCTTTGGGCAGGTTCACATCCACATCTGGGCCCTCTCCTTTGAAGCCAGGCATGCTGAACTTGGGCATTTTCACCTTGGGCATCTTCAGGTGCCAATCAGGACCATGGACATCCACATCTGGGACGTCAATGTCCACTTTAGGGCCTTTGATGTCCACTTCAGGGGCCTTAATCTCACCTTCCACTTTTGGTAAAGACACGTCCACATCGCCCTTCACTTTGGGGCCCTTCAGGTTCAGATCAATGTCAGGCATGGAGATTTTGGGGGCTTTGATGTTCATCTCTGGCATCTTGAACTTGGGGCCCTTTAGCTTTGCATCAGGACCTTCGATATTCACATCAGGACCTTCAATGTCCACCTTGGGTCCTGAGACACTGACGTCAGCCTTGGGCAGGTTCACATCCACTTCAGGGCCCTCTCCTTTGAAGCCAGGCATGCTGAACTTGGGCATTTTCACCTTGGGCATCTTCAGGTGCCAGTCTGGGCCATGGACGTCCACATCTGGTGCTTCAATGTCCACTTTGGGGCCCTTGATGTCAACTTCAGGGCCTTCCACTTTAGGCAGGGAAGCGTCCACATCACCCTTTACTTTGGGACCTTTCAGATGCAAATCAAAGTCAGGCATGGAGATCTTGGGCGCCTTGATATTCATCTCGGGCATCTTAAACTTAGGCCCTTTCAACTTCCCTTCTGGTCCTTCAATGTTCACATCAGGGCCCTCAATGTCCACCTTGGGTCCAGTTACATCAATGTCAGCCTTGGGCAGGTTCACATCCACTTCGGGGCCCTCTCCTTTGAAGCCAGGCACGCTGAACTTGGGCATTTTCATCTTGGGCATCTTCAGGTGCCAGTCTGGGCCGTGAACGTCTACATCTGGAACATCAATGTCCACTCTGGGGCCTTTGAGGTCAACTTCAGGACCTTTCAGATCTCCCTCTAGCTTAGGACCTGTGACATCCACATCTCCTTTTATTTTTGGTCCTGATAGGTTAAGATCAATATCTGGCATGGATATCTTTGGAGTCTTGAAATGCATATCAGGCATCTTAAATTTTGGACTTTTCCACTTTCCTTCAGGCCCTTCGATATTCACATCAGGACCTTCAATGTCTACCTTGGGTCCTGAGACACTGACGTCAGCCTTGGGCAGGTTCACATCCACTTCAGGGCCCTCTCCTTTGAAGCCTGGCATGCTGAACTTGGGCATTTTCACCTTGGGCATCTTCAGGTGCCAGTCTGGGCCATGGACGTCCACATCTGGTGCTTCAATGTCCACTTTGGGGCCCTTGATGTCAACTTCAGGGCCTTCCACTTTAGGCAGGGAAGCGTCCACATCACCCTTTACTTTGGGACCTTTCACATGCAAATCAAAGTCAGGCATGGAGATCTTGGGGGCATGAAAGTGCATTTCCGGCATCTTGAACTTGGGGCCCTTCAGTTTTCCTTCTGGGCCCTCAATGCTCACATCTGGGGCTTCAATGTCCACCTTGGGTCCAGAGATGTCAATGTCAGCCTTGGGCAGGTTCACATCCACATCTGGGCCCTCTCCTTTGAAGCCTGGCATGCTGAACTTGGGCATTTTCACCTTGGGCATCTTCAGGTGCCAGTCTGGGCCTTGAACATCCACATCTGGGGCTTCAATGTCCACTTTGGGGCCCTTGAGGTCACCTTCCACCTTAGGCAGGGAAAGGTCTACATCTCCTTTGACCTTGGGGCCTTTCAAATGTAAATCTACATCAGGCATGGAGATCTTGGGGGCTTTGATGTTCATCTCTGGCATCTTAAATTTAGGCCCCTTGATTTTTCCCTCTGGGCCCTCAATGCTCACATCTGGAGCTTCAATGTCCACTTTGGGTGCTGAGACATCAATGTCGGCCTTGGGCAGGTTCACATCCACTTCTGGGCCCTCTGCTTTGAAGCCTGGCATGCTGAACTTAGGCATTTTCATCTTGGGCATCTTCAGGTGCCAGTCGGGACCATGAACTTCAGGTGCACTTATGTCTACTTTGGGGCCCTTGACGTTCACATCTGGCACTTTAATTTTACCTTCTACTTCTGGCACAGACACATCAACATCCCCCTTGATTTTCGGTCCTTTCAGATTTAGGTCCACATCAGGCATAGATATATGTGGGGCTTTGAAATGCATGTCAGGCATCTTGAACTTGGGGCCTTTCAATTTGCCCTCTGGTCCCTCAATGTCTATATCTGGCCCACTGATGTCACCTTTGAGGTCGCCTTCCAACTTGGGAACATCTACATCCACCTCTCCCTTGACCTTGGGGCTTTTTAAGTGCAGATTAATGTCTGGCATGGAGATTTTAGGCGCTTTAAAATGCATGTCTGGCATCTTGAATTTAGGACTTTTCCATTTGCCATCTGGGCCTTCCACAGCTACATCTGGGATGTCAACATCCAATTTGGGGCCCTTAACATCCAATTCTGGACCCTTCAACTCTCCTTCCATCTTTGGGGCTGAAACATCAAAGTCTCCTTTAATTTTAGGCCCCTTCAAGTGGAAGTCCACATCTGGCATGGAGATCTTGGGGGCATGGAAGTGCATGTCAGGCATCTTGAACTTGGGGCCCTTCAGCTTCCCTTCTGGGCCCTCAAGGCTCACATCTGGAGCTTCAATGTCAACCTTGGGTCCGGAGATGTCAATGTCGGCCTTGGGCAGGTTCACATCCACCTCTGGGCCCTCTGCTTTGAAACCAGGCACGCTGAACTTGGGCATTTTCATCTTGGGCATCTTCAGGTGCCAGTCTGGGCCATGAACGTCCACATCTGGAACATCAACGTCCACTTTGGGCCCTTTGATGTCCACATCCGGCACTTTCATCTCACCTTCTATCTTGGGCACAGAGACATCCACATCCCCTTTGACCTTGGGTCCTTTCAAGTGCAAGTCCACATCAGGCATGGAGATCTTGGGGGCCTTGAAGTGCATGTCAGGCATCTTGAACTTGTGCCCTTTCAACTTTGCATCAGGACATTCGAGATCAACATCAGGCACTTCCACATCCACGCTGGGACCCTTCAAATCTCCCTCCAATTTCGGCACAGACACATCAACATCCCCTTTGACTTTGGGGCCTTTCAAGTGTAAGTCCACATCTGGCATGGAGATCTTGGGAGCCTTGAAGTGCATGTCAGGCATCTTGAACTTGGGGCCCTTCAGCTTCCCTTCTGGTACCTCAAGGCTCACATCTGGAGCTTCAATGTCAACCTTGGGTCCGGCAATGTCAATATCAGCCTTGGGCAGGTTCACATCCACATCTGGGCCCTCTCCTTTGAAGCCAGGCATGCTGAACTTGGGCATTTTCACCTTAGGCATCTTCAGGTGCCAGTCTGGTCCATGCACGTCCACATCTGGGACATCAACATCTACTTTGGGCCCCTTGAGGTCCACATCCGGCACTTTCATCTCACCTTCTATCTTGGGCACAGAGACATCCACATCCCCTTTGACCTTGGGTCCTTTCAAGTGCAAGTCCACATCAGGCATGGAGATCTTGGGGGTCTTGAAGTGCATGTCAGGCATCTTGAACTTGTGCCCTTTCAACTTTGCATCAGGACATTCGAGATCAACATCAGGCACTTCCACATCCACGCTGGGACCCTTCAAATCTCCCTCCAATTTCGGCACAGACACATCGACATCCCCTTTGACTTTGGGGCCTTTCAAGTGTAAGTCCACATCTGGCATGGAGATCTTGGGAGCCTTGAAGTGCATGTCAGGCATCTTGAACTTGGGGCCCTTCAGCTTCCCTTCTGGTACCTCAAGGCTCACATCTGGAGCTTCAATGTCAACCTTTGGTCCAGAGATGTCAATGTCGGCCTTGGGCAGGTTCACATCCACATCTGGACCCTCTCCTTTGAAGCCAGGCATGCTGAACTTGGGCATTTTCACTTTGGGCATCTTCAGATGCCAGTCTGGTCCATGCACGTCCACATCTGGGACATCAATGTCCACTTTGGGCCCCTTGAGGTCCACATCCGGCACTTTCATCTCACCTTCTATCTTGGGCACAGAGACATCCACATCCCCTTTGACCTTGGGCCCTTTCAAGTGTAAGTCCACATCAGGCATGGAGATCTTGGGGGCCTTGAAGTGCATGTCAGGCATCTTGAACTTGTGCCCTTTCAACTTTGCATCAGGACATTCGAGATCAACATCCGGCACTTCCACATCCACCTTAGGGGCTTTCACGTCCATTTCAGGAACTTTCAAGTCTCCTTCCACTTTAGGAAGGGAAACATCCACATCAGTTTTCAGTTTAGGGCCTTTCAGATTAAGTCCAACATCAGGCATAGAAATTTTGTGTGTCTGTATATTCATGCTTGGCATCTTGAACTTGGGACCCTTTAGTTTTCCCTCTGGACCTTCAAGAGTCACATCTGGTGCATTAATGTCCAGCTTGGGTCCAGAGACATTAATGTCAGCCTTGGGCAGGTTCACATCCACTTCAGGGCCCTCTCCTCTGAAGCCAGGCATGCTGAACTTGGGCATTTTCACCTTGGGCATCTTCAGGTGCCAGTCTGGGCCATGAACGCCCACGTCTGGTGCATTTATGTCCACTTTGGGACCTTTAATGTTGACATCAGGAGTTTGTATCTCTCCTTCTACTTTTGGAACAGTCATGTCATAATCTGCTTTCACTTTCGGACCTTTCAAATGCAAACCAACATCTGGTATCGGTATCTTCTGAGGCTTTATATTCATTTCTGGCATCTTAAATTTAGGACCTTTTAGTTTTGCATCTGGGCCTTCAATGTTCACATCTGGGACTTCAACATCCACCTTGGGTCCCGAGACACTGATGTCAGCCTTGGGCAGGTTCACATCCACCTCTGGGCCCTCTCCTTTAAAACCTGGCATGCTGAACTTGGGCATTTTCACCTTGGGCATCTTCAGGTGCCAGTCTGGGCCATGGACGTCCACATCTGGAGCACTGATGTCAGCTTTGGGCCCTTTAAGGTTAACATCTGGCACTTTTATTTCACCTTCTACATCAGGCAAGGACACATCCACATCTCCTTTCAGTTTTGGTCCCTTCAGATTCAAGTCCACATCAGGCATGGAGATCTTGGGAGCCTTGAAGTGCATGTCAGGCATCTTAAACTTTGGACCCTTCAGCTTCCCTTCTGGTCCCTCAAGGCTCACATCTGGAGCTTCTATGTCAACCTTGGGTCCGGAGATGTCAATGTCGGCCTTGGGCAGGTTCACATCCAACTCTGGGCCCTCTGCTTTGAAACCAGGCACGCTGAACTTGGGCATTTTCATCTTGGGCATCTTCAGGTGCCAGTCTGGGCCATGAACGTCCACATCTGGAACATCAACATCTACTTTGGGCCCTTTGAGGTCCACATCTGGCACTTTCATCTCACCTTCTATCTTGGGCACAGAGACATCCACATCCCCTTTGACCTTGGGCCCTTTCAAGTGTAAGTCCACATCAGGCATGGAGATCTTGGGAGCCTTGAAGTGCATGTCAGGCATCTTGAACTTGGGGCCCTTCAGCTTCCCTTCTGGTCCCTCAAGGCTCACATCTGGAGCTTCTATGTCCACCTTGGGTCCAGAGATGTCAATGTCAGCCTTGGGCAGGTTCACATCCACTTCTGGGCCCTCTGCTTTGAAACTAGGCATGCTGAACTTGGGCATTTTCATCTTGGGCATTTTCATGCTCCAGTCTCCACCTTGTACTTCCACATCTGGTGCTTTAATGTCTACGCTGGGCCCTTTGAGGTCCACGTCTGGAACTGTCATCTCACCTTTTATTTTTGGTGCAGACATCTCTACATCTCCTTTCATTTTGGGTCCTTTCAGATTGAGGTCAACATCTGGCAGAGTCATCTTAGGAGCTTTGAAGTGCATCTCAGGCATCTTAAACTTGGGGCCTTTCAGCTTCCCTTCAGGTCCCTCAAGGCTCAGATCTGGAGCACTCACATCTAACTTGGGTGCAGAAAGGTCTACATCAGCCTTGGGCAAGTTCACATCCAATTCTGGGCCCTCTCCTTTGAGGCTGGGCATGGTGAATTTGGGCATTTTCATCTTGGGCATCTTCAGGTTCCAATCAGGGCCATGAACTTCAACATCTGGGGCGCTGACATCTACTTTTGGCCCTTTCAGGTCACCTTCCAGCTTTGGCACTGTAACGTCATATTCGCCCTTTACCTTGGGCCCTTTCATATGCAAGTCCACCTCAGGCATGGAGATCTTGGGGGCCTTGATGTTCATCTCAGGCACCTTGAATTTGGGGCCCTTCAGCTTTCCTTCGGGTCCTTCAATGTTCAAATCTGGAATGTCAACATCCACCTTGGGCCCTGAGATGCCAATGTCGGCTTTGGGCAGGTTCACCTCCATTTCTGGGCCCTCTGCTTTGACGCCAGGCACGCTGAACTTGGGCATTTTCATCTGGGGCATCTTCAAATTCCAGCCTGGGCCTTGAATGTCCACGTCTGGAACATCAATATCCACTCTGGCACTCTTAAGTTCAACATCGGGAACTTTCACCTCGCCTTCGGCCTTTGGCACCGTCACATCGTATTCTCCTTTGACACTAGGGCCTTTCAAATGCAAGTCCACGTCTGGCATGGAGATCTTGGGGGCTTTGATATTCATCTCGGGCATCTTAAATTTGGGTCCTTTCAATTTTCCTTCCGGTCCCTCCATCCTCACATCCGGAGCACTCACATCTACCTTGGGCCCGGAAATGTCCACATCAGGCTTGGGCAGGTTCACGTCCACCTCTGGGCCCTCCGCTCTGAACCCTGGCACGCCGAACTTGGGCATTTTCATCTTGGGCATCTTCAGGTGCCATTCTGGGCCGTGAGCATCCACGTCGGGGGCAGTAATGTCCACCTGGGGGCCTTTCAGCTCCCCTTCAAGTTTTGGTGCCGACACATCGTACCCTCCTTTCACCGAGGGGCCTTTCACGTGCAGATCGACATCTGGCATGGAGACCTTGGGCGTCTTGACACTCACTTCAGGCAGCTTAACATCAGGGCCTTTCAGCTTGCCCTCGAGGCCTCCTACACTGACACCGGAAGCCTCCACGTTGACCTTGGGCCCCGTAATGCTGACATCTCCTTTGGGTAGATGGACGTCTACCTCGGAGCCTTCCCCTTGGACCCCCGGAGTGCCGAACTTGGGCATTTTCATCTTGGGCATTTTCAGGTTCCACTCTGGGCCATGGAGTTCCACATCTGGGGCACGGACATCCACTTTGGGGCCTTTGACACCCACTTCGGGGACTTTGACTTTCCCTTCGACTTTGGGGAGCGTGACATCTACACCCCCTTTCCCTTTAGGGGCAGCCACCTTTAAGTCGACATCTGCCATGGAGATGCTGCAGGTTCCCATCTTCCCAGAAGGGCTGCTCAGCTTGGGTCCTGCCAGGGCCCCCTCTAGGCTGGGCGACTCTATGTCCACTTTGGAGCCTTTAACTGCCACTTGAGGGCCTTTGACATCGCCTTGCATTCCCGGAGCGGAAACCTTAATGTCTCCTCTCAGTTTGGAGGACCCCAGGCTCAGATCCACGTCCTGCATGGAGATTTTGGGTTTCTGAATAATCATTTCGGGAGTCTTGACTTTAGTGCCCTTCAGCTTCCCTTCCAGCCCCCCCGTAGCAACCTCGGGCAGGCTGACGCCCCCCGAGACCCCAGGAAGTGTCCCGTCAATCCCAGTTCCCTCTCCCTTAGGGCCTGACACAGAGAATTTGGGCACTTTCATCTCGGGCATGGTGAGTTTGCCTCCAGGCCCGTGAATGTCAACATCAGGGCCGTGACCTTGCACATGGGGGCCGGGGATGGTGCCCTTGACTTTGGGAGCAGAGATGTCCACCCCGACGCTCCCCTGGGGCTTGGCACCTTTCAGGCCTCGGTCTCCCTCAAAGGACGGCCCAGTGATTCGGGGACCCTGCAGCTCCCCCTGAGGCCCCTGAGCCGTGGCACCGGCAGCTGCAGAAACACGCCACCCTGCCTCCGGGGCCTGGGGCTGGGGCCCCGTGGAGACACCAAATTTTGGCATCTTCATGGTGGGAATTTTAATTTTCCCGTTACTGTCACCCTCCAGAGATGGGCCCTGAACCTCTACCGCCCCACCACCAAGAGAAGACGGAACGCCCACTCCTGGACCCTGGGCCCCCCCTCTGCCGCCCAAGTCCAAGCCCTGGTGTCTGACTCTGGTGTCTGGGCTTCCCACCTTGATCCCAGGCACGGAGACCTGCAGCTTCGAGTGGCCAGCACCGTGGAGCTCTGGTCCCGAAGCGGCCATGGCGCCGGCTCGCACGTCCACAGCCCCTGAGCCCGAGGGCAGTCGGATCACCGTCTTCCCAGACTGGGTCTCCACGTCCACAGTGGAGATTTCGGTCAGCTCGTGCCGTGGGATCTTGATCTTGAACTCAGGGCTGCTGATGTCGATGTCCTTGGCTCCTTCCCGGCCCGTCACATCCACAGTGTAGGCCGTGACCCTCCTGGTCACCGTGATGGTGCGGCTCTGGGTCTCCCCGGGGTCGCCTTCCACTCCGTCCTCCGACTTCAGCCGGGGCTTGATCTTGTTGTCATAGATGCGCTGGTACTCCTCGTCAGCCCCGCTCTGCAGAGAGACATGCCCGGCAGAGGTTGCAACGGAGTCTGCCCGCGTCCCCGACGCCCGGCCGCAGCCCAGCCCTCTCCCAGAGAAGCCGGGACTGAAACAGGGGTCCGCGGAGCCTCCCGGGCAGAGCACAGAAGGCTGGCGGCCACATAGCAGGAGGAAGACAAATTACGTGGGGAATCTCCGGGAAGCAAAAGCCACGGGGCGACGAGGCTGCAGACGACTGGACGGCCCGGTCTGGGAGAAGGAATTACCATCAGTTCTAGACCCCAATCGACCAGCCAAGTACCCAGGATGCCTCTGGGCGAGCAGCTCTGCACGGACTTAAGCCTAAGGCTCTCAACTTTTTTTTTTTAATTTCAGAGAGGAAGGGAGAAGAAGAGAGAGAAACATCAATGATGGGAGAGTATTATCACTGACTGCCTCCTGCATGCCCCACAATGGAGACCAAGCCCACAACCCAGGCATGTGCCCTTGACCAGAATTGAACCTGTGACCCTTTAGTCCGCAGGCCGACGCTCTCTCCACTGAACCAAACTGGCTAGCGCGGCTCTCAACTCTTAACTCCCTGGTGTGTTTGTTTAAGCAGGAGGGGGACTTCCTGGGAGCGGCTGTGCTTGGGCAAACTCCCCCTGCAAGCACCCCTTCTTTGTTACATAAACAAGCCGTCAGAAGGAGCAGGGAATCGTCCCTCAGGCACTTTGCAGCCCAGCTTCTGGCTCACAGGTGAGTCCAGGCCTCTGGAAGCAGACAAAGGTTCTGTGAGCGCTGGCCGACATCTTCCCGAGCGCCGAGAGGTTACCGTTGGATTCCCGGTCAGGCTGCCCGGGTTGCAGCTCAATCCCCAGTAGGAGGCGTGCAGGAGGCAGCCCATGGTTGTTTCTCTCTCTTTCCATCCCCCTTTCTCTCTCTCTAAAATCAATTTAAAAAAAAAAAAAAAAAAAACATATTTAGAAAAGAAAAGGAAAGGAAAATGTTCTGTGAGACAGACCCGGGCACCTGGGAAGTCATTTCAAAGATTCTGGCGCCGCGTCGGGGACCCAGCAGCATGAGCAGGTTCCCAGGCCGTGGCACTCAGGAGAGACAGACACTTAGAGGCCACATCAGCCACGGGCCACACGTGGAACAACAGGGACAACCAGGCCGACTCAGCAGAGTGCAGAGGGGTGAACTCAGGAGAAGGAATGGCACGAGAGGCCCCGCAGGCAGGCGGCGGCCTCGGGAAGGGGGACCGGCGGGCGGCGGGCGGGAGCTCGGGGCGCGGACGCCGGCGGGCACTCACCAGAACCACCTCAGAAGTGCCGGAGCTGAAGACCTCGTGCGTCCAGGTCTGGCCGGGCTCGGGGGAGCGGTCCCCCTTCCGGTGCAGCTTCAGGCCCACCGTGTGGTGGCCCATGGTGCTCAGCAGCTGCGTCACCTCGCCCGACTGCAGGTTGTCAAAGTAGATGGTGGCGCCCACAATCTGGTCCCCTGAGCCGGAGGAACAGGAAGCGGGTCTCAGGAAAGCAACACACACACATTTCATGCAAGGCAGGCATGGCAGTGCCCACCGTCCAGGTGAGAAAACTGGGGCTTAGACCAGCCAGCTGATCGCCCAAGTGTGGCAAGAGCTCACGAGGACTGGGAGCGAGTGATGGACACAGGGTGCGCAAGAGAAGGCTGGGCTTGGGTACTGGCCATCCTGCTGGCACTGGGACCAGACCTTCCATTGCCACGTGCCCACTGCCCTTCCCTCCACCGCCCACGCCCACCCCAACCCAGCCCCCGGCCCGCCCCCCGAGGACTCACCCTCCTTGACCACCCCGGTGCGGGCCGCAGGGGAGTTCTGCATGACCTCCTGCACGAAGACGCCGTCGTCCGTCTGGGCGATGGTCAGCCCGTGCGAGCCGCTGCCCTGCCAGTTGGGCAGCAGCAGCTCCCGCGTGGTCTCCTCCTCCTTCTCCATCTGGGACGAGGGGAGGGGAGCGAGCTCAAGACCGGGGGGCGCCAGGCACAGCGGTGAGGGGCGAGGAGGCCAGGGGTCGTGCGTGGGTGAGCTCCCCGGGCGAGAAGCACCGGCTGCCAAGTGCCCCCTGAGCCCCGCCTCCCGGTGCCACCCAGGGGTCTCCGCACCCCCACCCCCTCCGCCGCCTCCTCACCACCCCCCTCCTGCTGACCTTTTGCAGGACTCGTTCAGGAGCGAAGGCCTTGCCAGGAGCCCGCCCCTCCTTCCGGTCCTCTGCTCAGTCTCTCTCGGAGTCTCGCTCACACAGCCTAGGGGAGAGTTCACAATGAGGCTCGAACCCCGGCCAGCGGCAACGCAGACGATAATATTCTGTGCCCCAGGCTGGACCCTCACTGCCGCTGCCATCCATTCCCTCCAGACGTGACTCAGCCTGGAAGCCCGAGGGGAGCTCGGAGGCCAGACCCTGAGTCAGCCGGCTCTGCACCCTCCCCGCGGGCGCCCTGGCCAAGCCCCTGTGCCTCTCCGACCCCCCTCTCCCCACGGTGAGGCGGGGAGCCGGCGAGGCGCGGCGGTGAGAGATGCCGGTGAGGACGGAGGAGAGAGCGTGTGTTCGAAGCTCTGCGCACAGGACCTCGGACAGACACCAGCCTCAGGAGGGGGGCGCCACGGCCCCAACCGGCAGGTGGGAAGAGTGACAAGTCACAGGCCGACTGCTCCGGGTCCACAGTAAAGAAGCAAGTCTGCCTGGGCTCGGACCCAAATCTGTACCCTCTTCCCCGGCACCCTGTCCCTCCAGGCACCCTGTCCCTCCCAGCACCCTGTCCCCTGTCTGCGCCCCACCCCTCCCCCACACCCTGTCCTCCCCGGATCCTGTCCCCCCAGCACCCTGTCCCCTGTTTGCGCTCCCACCCCTAGCCCCCCGGCACCCTGTCCCTCCCAGCACCCTGTCCCCTGTCTGCGCCCCACCCCCGGCCCCCCGGCACCCTGCCCTCCCCGGATCCTGTCCCCCCGGCACCATGTCCTACCAGGGCTGCAGCTCTAACCGGCAGACACTCCTGTGGCCCAGCACCGGAGGCACCGGCAGGCCTGGGAGCAGGGTGTGGGGACAGTGACTCTGGGCCTCCCTGTCCAACTCAGTCCTCAGGACCAGGGGCCCTCGCCCTGGCCGGCGGGACTGAGGCCTGGCCCGGAGCAGCCGGACAAAGGGGCCCAGCCCCGGGCGCTGGCCCGGCCCCAGAGGCTGGAGTCCAGCTGCGCGGCCTCGGCCGGTGAGTCAGGCCGCCTGCTGCCCACGCCGGGCAGGGCCAGGCCCAGGTGCTGGCACGGAGACCCGCCCGCGGCCCAGGGGCGGCAGAGCAGAGGGGCCCTGAGAAGAGCCCTGGGCACGGCCCCGGCCCACAGGCGCCCACAGGAAACGGGGCGTCTGTGTCCCCGCAGCAGGTCCGTGAGATGGGGGGCGGGGTGTCAGCCACGGAGCACCCCGCCCAGCACCCCGCCCCACAGCTGTGCACCCAGGAATGAGTCAGCCGCTGATAAAGGTGCGCCTGCTGCCTGGCCACAGGTGCAGCGGACAGAGCGTCCCTGCAGGCTGAAGGGTCCCGGGTTCGATTCCGGCCAAGGGCACACACCCAGGTGGCAGGCTCGATCCCCAGCCCGCTCAGGGCCCGTGTGGGAGACAACCAGTAGATGTGTCTCTCTCACACCGATGTTTCTCTCTCCTCCCTCCCTTCCACGCTCTCCAAAAATCCCTGGAAAAACACCCGCGGGTGAGGATCAACAAAAATAAAAGATGGAGGCGCGCACGCCCCACGGGGACCGCCGCCCACTCACTGCTGACCCGCTCACGCTCGCTCAGGGCGCTCCACGCACCAGACCTGGACGTTTGGGAGACTCAGTCCCCGTCCGGATATAAATTATGAGCCAGGTGCTCTGGGCGTGCCCAGTTCAGAATGTTCCAGAGGCTTGGGAGACTCGGGGTGGGGATGAAACAAAAATAGGGTCTTGACGGCGTAGGTTGCCTCTGAGAAACGGGATTGCTCGTGGGCATTCACAGGCCCTGGGCCGTTCCAGTGTCGGGCAGATCACAGCCGGGGGGGGGGGGGGGGGGGGGCGCGCAACTTCATGGACCCAAGTGCCCCCACCTGCGGTTTGTGGCTGGGAGCAGAGCCATGCAGGGGGCCACACCCCCTCCCTGAGGGCAGAGGAGCCTGAAACAGCAGAGCTGGAGCCTCAATGGCGCCCGTCCCTCCCCCCTCCCCACCCCCTCACCCCCCCCCCTGCATCCAGGACTAAGAAGCCAGCCCTGGGCAGACAGGCACCCGGCACCCGGCAGGGTGGGGAGCTGACCGCCTGCAGGCCCTCAGGCCTCAGATCCCTGCAGCACCGACGCCTGGCACCCCGACTTCCTCCTTGGGCAGCCCCACCCTCAGCCTCGCATCCTGGTGCTGAGCCAGCAGCAGGTGAGGGGGGAGCGCCAGCTCAGCCGCCCGCATCTCGCCCCACCCTCCCTGCTTCCCCGATGAGTCACCGCGGCCACAGCAGCTCCAAACATGCGAAGGGTCACACCTCAACGCCACCGGCCGAGTGCGTCCGGGCCAGACCCCGGCTCCAAGGGGCACGGCCGGGGCTTCCCTGCCAGCTCCTCAGACGGAGCCCCAGGCCGGACAGGGCCCTGCACACAGCCGGGAGGCTTGGGAGAGCCTGTGCCAGGCCTGGACCCGGCGGACGCGGAGGGGGAAGGCCACCCCGGAGAGAGAATGGCCCACCGCCGTGAGAACGGGAGGCCTCGCTTGGCCTTGGCAGAGCACCCGCGGGCCTGCCTGCCACCCTGCTGCCGGGCTCGGCCGCCTCCTGGTACCGCCGGGAAGGACCCCCCCTCCTGATATGGGCCATGCAGACGGCTGGCAGGGGTGCTGGCAGGGGACTGGAGGCCCCGTGGCCAGGGCTGTTCTCTGCATCTGGGCCCCAGCCCTCAGCTCCCCGACCCCTGGAGCCTGCGCCCAAGGCAGTTGGCCCTCCCTCTGCCCACTGGAGCCCAGGGGAGCCGGCCACCCCACGCAGGCCCGTGGCGCCACCCGGAATTCTGCACGTCCAGCCAAGGCCACAGCCTTTGGAGCTGTGCTGGCCAACATGCTGCCACGTGGGGTGCTTCCATTTAAGTGAACGGAATTCAATGTAAACTTAGTTCCTGGCCCTGGCTGGTGGCTCAGTCGGTTGGAGCTCTGCCTGTGCACCGAAGGGTTTTGGGTTCAACTCCCGTTCAGGGCATTTCCAGAGGCTGTAGGTTCAATCCCCGGTTGGGAAGCAACGGATCGACATTTCTATCTATCTCCCTTCCTCTCTCTAAAAACCCAATAAAAACATGTCCTTAGGCCCTCGCCTGTGTGGGTCAGTGGATAGAGCGTCAGCCTGCGGACTCAAGGATCCCAGGTTCGATTCTGGTCAAGGGCATGTACCTTGGTTGCAGGCATATCCCTGGCGGGGGGAGGGGTGGGGGGGGGCCGCAGAGGCGGCTGATCAATGTTTCTCTCTCTTCAATGTTTCTAACTCTCTCTCCCTCTCCCTCCCTCTCTGTAACAAATCAATAAAATATATTTTCATATATATATATATATATATATATACACACACACACACACACACACACACACACACACATATTATTGGAGAGGATTAAAAAAAAAATCCACAAACATATCCTCAGGTAAAGATTTAAAAAACTAAAAAAAAAACTAAAAAAAAAAAAAACTTTGCTGGGTCAATGTGGCCAGTGGTTGAGCGTCGACCTATGAACCAGAAGGTGGAGGTTACGATCTGATTCCTATTCAGGGCACATGCCCGGGTTTCAGGCTGGGTCCCCAGTAGGGGGCGTGCACCGGAGGCAGCCGATCAATGATTCTCTCTCATCACTGATCTTCTATCTCTTGATTTCAGAGAGGAAGGGAAAAAAAGAATCACTGATTGGCTGCCTCCTGCACGTCCCCCACTGGGGATGGAGCCCACAACCTGGGCATCAAACCATGGTGCCCCGACCAGGAGCCAAACCCTGACCTCCTGGTTCATAGGGCGACCCTCTGGGCAGTAAAAATATTTTTGTTTGTTTGTTTAGTTCATTGGTTGCATGAGCCACATTTCAAAGCTTAACAGCCACAATGGGGGCAGACAGAGAGCATTTCCACCTGCAAACAGGTCCCAGCGGGCCTGCTACCCCCCACGGGGAAGTGAGGTCAGAGGTGAGCATGGGGAGCCCTGGGGCCCTCGCCAGGGCCTGCTAGCTGCCCGCCTGCCCGCGCCCCTCCCCCTGACGCAGCAGCTGGAGTGGGACTGGAAGGCAGGGGCCGCCTGCAGGGCAGAGAGAGAGGGAGATGGCGAGGCCACTCCGCTAAGGCCGAGAAGACACAGGTCTGAGACCCGGGGACAGCGTGCAATTCCCGCCAGAGGCAGCGGAGAACGAGGCGCCCTGTCCATGCGGAGCCTCCGAGGCGCTGTGCAGAGCAGGCCTGCGCGCCTGGGCCGGGGCCACCCCTGGAGGGCCCGGGAGGGGGGCTCCTCGCCCTGCACACCCAGAGGCGCATCCTCTCCCCACCCCCGGGAACACAGCCCCTTCCTCCCCGAAGCCCATGGGAGGGGCCGCAGGCGGCTGGGCACCAGAAACGGGTGGGGCTGGCACGTGCCAAGATGACAGGCACGGCCGGAACCGGCGTGGCTCAGTGGATAGCGCGTCGGCCTGCAGGCTGGGGGGTCCCAGGTTGATTCTGGTCAAGGGCATGTGCCTTGGTTTCGGGCACATCCCCAGTAGGGGGTGTGCAGGAGGCAGCTGATTGATGCTTCTCTCTCTTTCCTTCTCCCTTCCTCTCTGTAAAAAAAATCAATAATATATATACATATATATATACATATACATATACATATATATATACATATACATATATATACTTTTTTTTTTTTTTTAAGATGCCAGGGACGGATACACACCCCCGAGGGACTGGCCCTGGGCCTCC